GAAGAGGAGGAGGAGGAGGGAAGAGGAGGTGGAGGCGGAGAAGGAGAAGGAGGAGCAGGGAGGAGCAGGGGAGGAGGGAGGAAGAGGGAAGAGGAGGAGAGCACCAGAAGAGCAGGGGAGGAGGGAGGAGAGGAAGGAAGGAGAAGGAGGAGGGTTGGCGGGTGTGCGGGCGGGGAAGCGGGTGGGAGGGGAGAGCGCGGGAAAGATTTCGGAAAAAGGGGAATAGAATATAGTATTGTATATTGGATACTGACCGCATGATTGCAACTATTTGAAGTTTATTGGGATTTTCTTAACTGAATTTTATAGTTTACTGATCATTCTGTCCCTTCGGCAAATAAAGATTCGTGGAAAAGGGTGGGGTACTCGACAGGCCCGGTACGGGTGGGGGTACTTCACTCAGGAAGGTTTGGGGAGTACCCAAGAGACACCGCCGACATGCTCGCTAGATTCGTGACGGTCAGTCGCCCATGGAGGAGGAGGGAGCGGAGGGGGAGAAGAGGAGGGGAATTCTATGGTGGAGGAGGAAGACTGTATTATGGGGCAATGGGGGAATGGTGAAAATGAGAAGGCCAGGGATGGTCTTGAGGGAAAGACGGTGGGGATGGTTTTGTCGTTTTTTGTTGTTGTTGGTCGCGGCGGTTACGTATGCAAATGCGTTTATTCGTGCTTAAATTGTCTTGTGATGCTGGATATCTCATGTTTTCTTATGATTGTTTGCTGGTCTTATTTTGGATCCAACAGCCCTCTGGAAGAATGCTCTTCGCCCAGCCTGTGATTGTTCCAGGAGAAGTCCTGTTGAACGGAACCTGCGTAAGATGTTGATGACTCTTAGGCGACGCTGACCTTGTCATTTTTTCTTTGTACAGAACTCCATGCCGGGATGGGATCCCATGTAAATCTGATTGTTGATCCTGTGTGCCATGTGACCGCCGTACAGGGGCATGTGGAACCCGACCGACTATCACTCCGATCCTGACTGCCGCCTCAACCCCATGTACAACGAGCGCGGCATGGGTGAAGGTGTGTGCACGACATCCTATGCCTGCAGTTGAAACTCACAGTCATTTCCCGTGTGCTTGCAGGCGCTTCGTACGGTGGCCAGTACCACTAAAAGCTACAACTAAGTGCCATTTCAAGTGCATTGGTCCAAAGAAGAGCGCAATTCGTTTGTTTATGAGACAATAAATCGGTAATGAAAACAGGAGGTTTTGATTCTCAATGCTGTTAAATTTGGTTTGGACAAGACTTGTCGGAACGACAGATTTCATCGTGGCAACGAACATATCATCTCTCGAAACTTGAGATACATTCATCGGTGGTTGTCGATCCCTGTCTCTATGTGGTCCGATCATGTTGTTGGCAGATTTGATCTAATAATCACCCGCGCTTCTAGTACATGACGACCATGGTTTTGCTGATGCCGACCATGGCTGTCGTCGTTACAGCCGTGACTCCTGACTCGTGTGATTCTTCTCCTCTGAGTCTTGCTGCCTCCAAGGGGACTGGCACAGACCATCAGATAGTCAAAGTGGTACCAGTGTTGTTGCTGGTACTACAGCTAAAGGAGATGGAGACTCGAAGCTCAGCCGGCCGCCGGCGGCCGCGCGGCCGGGCAGTGACTGCGGCAAGGAGCCTGATGCCCGAGAGAAAGGACAGACCGTACTCTGAAACATCGGCTGTCAGTTACCACAAACGCCGGTCAACTCAGTATGCCTCTGGCACGGGGCCCGGCTGGCACCGTCGCCGGGGGGGCCGCCGCGCGGACTCCGGTCAACCGTTGACCAGTGTCAGCCGCGCGGCGTGACAGTGATCGGACGGCCCGCGGCGCGGCCCGGCCGCCCGGCCGCGCCGTACTAGGCTACCGCCGGTGCACCCGGCCGCCCTCATCGGGTGGTTACCTACCGTTACAAAATGCAGGCTTGCTGCGACATGTGAGGAGCAAGGAGAAACCGGGGCGAGAAGTGAAGAGAGAGAGGAATGAGGAAGAGAAGACGCGAGAGCAAATGAGAACGATAAGGTAGGAGGAACAACTGAACAAGGAAAGTTAGGAGAGTAATTTTCGACAAACTATGGACAAAAAGCATTGAAAGCAACGAACGCTTGTTCGAGTCGAGAGTCTTTTCTTTGTCTGTCTCTTTTCAACATACTTACTGGTACAATTATGGTCAGGTGTTAGTTTCTGAATATCAAGTCTTGTGCTCTATTATAGTTTGGAATGGATCCCATCGCCAAGATCAAAGAGGAGTACGAGGCTAGGAAACGAAAGCTGCAGGAGATTGCTACCACTGCCGTGCCGAACGAGGGGACCGAGAAGAAAAAGAAAGTATATTTAACGAAAGGGCAAGCCAAGAAACTACTGTAAGTTGTTTGAGATGATATTTTTCCGAAGTGCGCTAGCGCTTATGCTATTTCATCTCTGACAGGGAACAATCAACTTCATCGCAAACACAGGAAAGCAGCGACAGCGCCAACAAAGAATCAGCATCAGCCGACTCACAGCAACTTGAAAACGGGGGTGGGCAAACCACAAAGAAATGGATCCCGAAGGAAGAGGTGGTGCGCAGGCTCAGGGCGCTGAGGGCGCCTATCACGATCTTTGGAGAAAATGACGAGGAAAGGATCATCCGTTTGAGGAAACTGGAGCTTTCTCGTCCAGATGAGGAGGAGGAGACACGGGGGCAGAAGAACTTCCTCCTGGAGGAGAAGAAACGAGAGAAGGAGAAGCTTCTGGAGGGAGATTCATCGGCGGAGGACGAGCTGACACCAGAGCAGAAGCGAGAGAAGAAGATGAATCGTTTGCAGAAGTACGTCCCTCTTGCTCTTCACTTGCATCCTCACTCTTGCTTCGTCAGACTGAGATCCAGGGAAGACGAAGCCTTGAAGTCGCAGAACAAGCATGACCTGATCAGCACTTGGCTGCGGCGCTGCCTCAAGGAATGGGAGATTGACATCGACGATCTGCCAGATGAGGTGAGTTGGCATGCTCTTGTATGACGGCTGACTTGAGCTGCAGTTCTCCAAGACCGTGAAAGGGCGGCAGGAGATCAACACGTTCAAGCAGACTAAGGTACGCAGAATGTGTGGCTCCGTGGGCATGTCCCTTGTGTTGACTTGATTCATGGCAGATTTACTTGAAGCCTTTGTTCAAGATGCTCAAGACAAGAAGTTTGGAAGGAGATATCCTGGTGAGAGATGCTTCTTCGGTTCTACAGCATGAGGACATTTCATGCCCTTCACATTCCCATCTCGATCCTCCGCCTTCTCCTGACCTCCTTCTGCCCGAACCCTTCTGTTCATGGACCATGACTGTTCCACATGCCAGGAACGTCTCGGAGAGATCATCAAATGGTGCCGAAGACGTGAGTACACCAAGGCGGCGGACGAATACCTCCTCCTGTCCATCGGCAAGGCGGTGATGCTACCACGTGCTATCTCCTCGTCTTGACGAGCATCAAGGCCTGGCCCATGGGAGTGACCATGGTTGGTATCCACGAGCGCTCAGCAAGAGAGAAGATCTTCTCTCAGGTGAGCTCTCGGGATTGCGCGCGGGGTGCGTGGGGTGGGGGGGGGTCTGAGAGCCGGGGTGGCAGGACGTGGCCCACATCCTCAACGATGAGACTCAGAGGAAGTTCATCCAGTCGGTCAAGCGCCTCATGACTTACAGCCAGAACAAGTACCCCCCAGCAGCTTCACCAAGGCCATCGAGCCCACCTGCATCGACCAGCACGCCCCGAGCTACCTTCGAGAGGTGACAGCCCTGCAGTCCTCTCCCAGCCCTCCCCCTCCCCC